GGGGGAGTGGGCAGAGGCTGCATGGAGTAGAGGTGCCGGCACAATGTGGGGAGGGGGAAAGAGGGCAGACAGGCTACAGGGGGAAGTGCCAGAGGGCAAGGAGGCTGCATATCATCACCACCACCACTCCCTGCTGCTTTCTCCACTTTAGCAGTGGTGGGGACGTATTTAAGATGACCCTCCTTTAATTAGATTCTATACATGGAAAATTTATAACAATTTGTTTTCTATATTTCCCACATACAGAGTCTAATTATTGAGAGGGTTGTCTTAAATTCAAGGTCATCTTGGATTTGTCTAAATATACTAATTAGAAATATCCATAGGTGCATTATAGTGGCCCAAGAGCTTACAAAACTTCATGGTTCAGGAAGAGATGATAAAGATGTGTGGGGTGGGCATGTGGAGTTCTTCACACACATTTTTCAATTGCTGCAAGTTTGCTTTATATACCAGAGAACTTTTAGATGACTTCTTTGGAAAGTCTCCTGACTTCCATGGGTTTGGGGTAGCTTGCCTCTTTCTGTTTTTATAAACCAGCCCCTTGTGTTCATATGCCCAGAATGCTTATTGTAGCTGCTTTCTTTGTAGGTTGCCTTGGGGACATCCTTGGAGCTTTTTAGTTTCCAGGAGTAAGAAATTTTGTTAATTTGATTTTTTTTTTTTTTTCTAGAGAACAGATTAGTTCTTATAATTGTTTTGCACAGATGATTTATATCTTGGCTATTCCTCCTTCATCCCCACAGAAAGCTGTTTTTCCTTTTTAGTGTTTAAGCTAGGAGGGAGCTAATTGTTGCACTAGGGTGTTGTTGAACCTAGTACCCAAATACAAGGAGCACAACAAGGTACTGACTGCTGGAACCAACATTGCAGAACTTTGAGTTCAGTGAGTTCCTCCTATCCATGGCCATCCCCAGGATTGGTGATCTGTTGAGATGTAAATCTTAAAAACAAACAAACAAACAAACAAACAAACAAAAAAACACACATACACCAAAAAAAAAAACCAGGCCTCTTTCTGGTCGCATGTAAATAATAATGGGAAGTTGAACACTTTTATTAAAAAGCCCAAAAATAACATAGAAAACATGCACAAAAAAACTAAACCTTTTAAAGTGAAATAAATATTGGCAAGTCATGAAGTTAGTGAGTCTGCTTAGTAAAGCATTGTCCAAGAAGTTGGGCAATTTTGGCATATTAGCAATTTAATATTGAGCACTTGATGTGTTCTAGAATGCTTTTTCTGCTTCTAGCATGCCAGCTGCTTTTTCAAATTAATGCAGTTTGGTACCTCTTCAGTCGCATGTGAATACACATTTACATGATCAAATTGTCCGTAAGTACATGGGAAAAGAATTACATTTTATGTTTGACCTTCAGTTGGACTTTTCTTAAAGTTTTTGTGTACTTAGCTATGCAACTTGTGATGTTTTCTTAAAATAACTTAATGCACTAAATTTCCTAGGTTATGGGATAGAAATGGAGCATGAGGGGCAAAGTAGGTGAGGGAATAGAATTTGAGTTGGGAAAGAAAACATTGAGAGTAAAGTCTCTTGTTCATTTGAAGTACTGCATTGGGGTTTATGCAGGTAGCGCTGAGGCAGGATTTGCAGGGAGTAGTGAGAGGACGATGTGCATGGGGTAGGACAGTCACCCTGGACTTGATTGTTTTTCTGTACTGGTGTAAATCAGGAATAAATACTTGAAGTCAAGAGTTTAACTAGTAAGGCATGGATTTGAATGACAGGAGATGCAAGCATTTACATTTAAAAAAAAAAAAAGACGAAAAATTGTAACTAAATTCTATATTTATGATAATTACAGTTCTTCTGCCAACTATACATTAGTCGGTATCCAAATATAAAAATTTTAATCATTAATATACAAATTACTAAAAAAAAATTTAAATCCACTGGCAGTGATACTCTACTAACAACGTGGGTTGTTCCAACTAGTGGGCAGTTACTACAGAAGTCCTAAAGATGTACTGAGTACCTTGTTAGAGATTGAGGTACCTGTATCTGTATCTGCCAGTCAGAAGTGCAAGTGGTTGCCTTCACCTGCTGCCTTACGGTGGACAAGAGATCAAGCTTCATTATGCTCCTGGAAAAAAAATTTGAACTGAGAAGCCATGAGAATCTATTGTAGAGGCCCTATACAAGCCTCTTGGAGAGAAAATGGGGATGGCTGAAGATGGTTTGAGGCTTGTGGGAGGCCTCTGATACTCAGTAGCATTTAGTAGTTCAATACTGATGCCATAAAGTATCCTGAAAGTTTAGATGAGCTTCAAACTAGCATTGATTACTCCACATAGTGGAAATTGCATAATCCTACTTTGCAGCTATGGCCTAGCTTAGCCCTTTCTCCTTTATAATTTCCAATTTCTCCTGGTGACAGATTCAAAGCACTTGACTCTTTTTTTTCCCCCTCTTTCTACCTGCTGACATTTGGTTATCCTATGGTAAATGGGGAGGGTCAAATATTTTGACTAGAAGTTTTAAGAATATTTATTCAGTTGCTTCCCATTCAAATTAATTTATTTGATTGAATTGAACTTTTACATGAAATATTGTGCTTTTTATTTGCTAGGTTCTCTCCTATGGGTGTAGATCACATGAGTGGGCTTTCTGGTGTAAATGTTCCAGGAAACGCATCTTCTGGCTGGTGTATCTTCATCTACAACCTTGGTCAAGATGCTGATGAGGGAATCCTTTGGCAGATGTTTGGCCCCTTTGGTGCGGTTACCAATGTGAAAGTTATTCGAGATTTCAACACCAACAAGTGCAAAGGTTTTGGTTTTGTGACCATGACAAACTATGAAGAAGCTGCAATGGCCATAGCAAGTCTTAATGGCTACCGCCTGGGGGACAAAATCTTACAGGTTTCCTTCAAAACCAACAAGTCCCACAAATAACTTGCTCGTGCTTTTTGTATGGAATAGATAATTGAGTGACAGAAGTTGAAACATTTTTGTTAGTGTAAAACTCATTTTGCGCCAATTTTCACAAGTGTTTGTCTTAGTCTAAATGAGAAGTGAAAAAGGTTTTTATACTCTGGGATGCAACTGACATGTTCAAATGTTTGAAATCCCACAATGTTAGACCAATTTTAAGTTCCTTAAGTTATTTCATTGAAAACATATATATAAGAAGCCCCTAATAGCTTAAGTCCCTCTGGATGGTGGTAAAATTGAAGCATGCTTTCACTTATGAGACTGAATTTTGTTCCATTGAATATTGTCTGCAAAAACTGGAATTTTTTTATTCGAACTATCTAGCTGACTCCATTAGTGTGTCATTCCCCCATCCCCTTTGAAGCTTGGAAAAAAAGTTGAAAGCACTGTTGTTTTAGTTGGCAGTATACTGCTTTATAAAGTAATTTTCATCGCTACATTTAGTTGAGGAGTAGACTTTATAAAGTGAAGGTCTTGTAAGTAGTAGCATGCTAGCATAACTTTTAACACCATTGATGAGGTAAGTTGCACACTGAAGAGTAGCCAAGTTGTCAAATTAAAAGGTTTTACAAATACTTTTAAAGCCCATTTTCTAATAGGAATGGACCAAAGAGTTTCAGAGAAACTCTGGGAAGATTTCAGAGTCAAAACGAAACTCCAAAAACAGTGTGAATATATGTTGTTTACCAGACTGAATCTCTTCTGTCCAGATATCAATGCATGGTGCACTACTTACTGGTACATTATAATGCAGCAAGATTCTTACTCATTTTCAAAGATCGTTATTGTTTTGAATACCTAAGGGCAGTTTTATTTTGTAAAAACAGTTCAACATTTGAGCATTGTATTTCTCGCATCCCTTCTAATGAGTGCTAGATTTTTCTATTTTAATAGGATTTTGTTTTGATGACTAGCTTTACGTATTGAACACTCAGCAGAAAAGTACTTACTTCTTGCAAGTTAGATATTACTTTAAAAAACCTTGATTTGTAGATTTAAAGATTAATCCCCCAAGTTTTCTGCAGACTGCCTTGAATCTTTGAGTTGTTCTGTTTCTGTTAATTTTCTTTTGCTTTTTTGTGTTTTTTGTTTGTTTTTACTTTTGCATTTAAGACCATTAAATTTGATTTTGTTTTGCTCAAATTTTGTTTTGTTTTTTATTTTATATTATTTTTTTTGCTAAGTATTGCACAAAGTGTCCAGCTTTTAACGAGTATTGTTTTAAAAAAAAAGAACTATAGTTCTTCGTTAAAATAATATAATTTTCCTTTGACAGATGCATAGGAGAAAAAATTATGTGAAAATAAAAGCACTATAACAAACCTGTCACATAAAAAGTATGTGCCACAGTGATTTAAAAATATGGTAGATGTTCCTTTAGAAAGTCTGAAAAGGATTTTCGTATGTCAGATACAGCATATGCAGGGGAGGTAGGTACATAGTGTGCAGGAGTAGGGTCCTCCACCTGAGTGACTTTTAAGACCATTATCTGGGTTTTCTCACCAAAGTTCAGAGGAAATGCAGAAATTGGGACAATTCAGCAGCATTTTTCTTTTGAGCGAATCTCTGCCAATCTCCAAAAAAAAAAAAAAGAGTAGTCAGGCCTCCCCTTTGGGTTTTGGAGATGGTTCAGTGCATGTGTTTGTTTAGTGCCCAAAAGCTGGTTCTTGAAGATTCTGCTTTGCAGCCCTCTTTCAGCAGCAGGACCTGCAGTCCTGTGCCACCTCTGGATTTCTGTCCCATCATTGCCATCGTTTATTTTTGGCACTTGTCCTCTTGTTCAGAAAACTGTGGGCACCTCTGGATTTCTGTCCCCTCATTGCCATCATTTATTTTTGGCACTTGTCCTCTTGTTCAGAATACTGTGGGACTTTGCTCTAATTTCAGTATGTGTGTGTGGGGGGTTGTTTTTTCCTTCAGTCAGCAGGCATTCATTCACCTATCCAGTAACCTGCTGGTTTGTTGCTGTACATAGCCCTTGGCTGACTCCAGGAGAGCTCAGTGGTGGTAGACATCATCTCTGGCTATGTAGCGCATGCGAGGCTGAGTTCACGTGCAGTTAATTCGAGTGCTCTCTGCTATTTTATAGATGCAACCTTCCCTTTTCTGCAAATCCCAAGCTCTTGAGGTGCATCCATCCTCAGATAGGTTGGATGTCCTTTCTAAACAATAGCCCTGGAACGGGACCCTTCACCAACCCCTTTCCCATGTGTTTCCATTTCCTTCCCTTCTCAGAAAGTTGTCCTTTCCCCATGTCCTCTGGGCATTAGCAGTGTTGCTTGACTTATTGCTCCATATTGCATCCTGAGATCCTTATTTAAATAAACACACTCCATCCTTTTCCATCACCTGTATTTGTCTTCAGAACTTTTTGTGCCTTTTGACTCTTCCATCAGTACGTCTGTCAAGATCCCAGGATCTTCCTTGTAGTTGCTTTCATTTCCTGGCTCCTTAAAAAAAAAAAAATTATAAAAAATATATAATATTATAAATATATAATATATTTATATTTTTATATATATAAAAACACACACACTAAGAGTAAGGCTTGGTAAGCTCTCAATAGTAAAACTCCTAACATGGCCAACTCAAGATGTTTTACAGAGTAGCATCCCCCTTTTAACCTTTTAATAAATTATATATATAATACTATATGTTAAAAGAGGGTGCTACTCTGTAAAACATCTTGAGTAGGCTATGTTAGTTTTACTACTGAGAGCTTACCAAGCCTTACTCTCAGTTTAAAATTCTCCTTGAAGATTTTGTGACACCACTGTCCTTTTGTTGGTGGCTTCAGCTGCATTAATTTTTCTTGTCTTGTGTTCTTCTCTTACATGAGTGAGGAACAATGTTATGGTTTCATCCAATGATGAAGAATCCATTTCTAGTAACTTGTTGGGCCATGCTTGCTTTCATCAGGGTTCTTTTCGTCCTGTTTAATGTTGTCTGTTTGATTCGTCTGAGTAAGCTACCACTCTTCCAGTGAGGAGAAAAGGGAAGAAAAGAAACAATTCTTTTAATTTCTTGAGGAGTGGAATGTGTCCCTTTTGAGTCATCCAAACCACTTCATTTATAGACCAGACCTCCTTGTCACCACCCACAGTGTTGCCAGTCTGACTCCACAAGCAGAGAAATTTTGGCGTGCATTCACTTTCTGGTAACTAAGATAGGTGAGTTTTGACTCTTGCTGGACCTCCCATTTCTCAGTCCATCTGTAAAGACTGCATGGTGGAGGTTCAGGCAAAACTCTGAAGTCCAGTAAAAGAAATCTTTCAATTTCTTCTGCTTGATGGTTTGGAAGGACTTGTACTCTGTATCTAGACATCTAGTGCACTAGGTATTTTCCAGTTTGTATCAGAACATCAGCATTTCTAGTATTTTTTGGCACTTCATCGGTTGGGGAGTGTACAAATCATTACTCTTCCTTTTGGATGACGAAGTAGTCAAAACAAATGCTTCAAGAAAGCACCTCTGTTTCGATCTGTGTTCCATGTTGCAGCTTTTTGAGCTGTAAAACTCATTCTCAAGAGCTTATACATGTAAAGACCCATTTTCCATTTCAGATTTCTCATCAGTTAAAACAGGGAAGTAAGATACAGTAAAATGCCAGGTTTTGCTAACTGGACTAAGGCATCCTGATCAGATCAGCCCTGCACATGCTGAATCTGACACAATTGGCTGCACTATCTGAGGACTTTTCTGACTTTAGCCCTTTGTGATAATGGTGAAATATCTGTGGGCACCTTTAATCTGCTTCCCCTCCCTAGCATTCAGACATCACTCTAGTGCTGACCTAATGAAAAGTCAAGTTGATAATCTCTTGGACATCAAATGCTACAATTACTGTGCTTCAGAGGATAATGTGTGCGCACTGGGTTAGATGGTATCAAGGCTGTAATCCAAAGAAGAAGAATCTGAACTTCACGGAATCAAGATTAGTGGGTCTGGAGGGCACTAGCCTTTTTGCTGTCCATCCTGATTGTGCCAACTGGAATCATGGAAGCTTAAAAAATTTTCTGAGAATGAGCCTATTTTTCATTCACTTACCTTTTACCTTCATCCAAGAAAACCTTGATGAATGCTCAAGGGACTAGCAGGTGAAAGAACAGTAAAACAAATCGGTGATGCTATTTTTTTTAACCAGATGTGTCAATTTAAAAGTTAATTTGTTATATCATTTGTTACAACATTCAGCTACCTTCATCCTGCCTTAAATTATAAGGACATGTGGTTTTGGAAGGTGAATGCTCTAGTGATTTAAACACACTAGTGACTAAAACATACACATAGTGGCATGCCTTTCACTTGCATAATCCCCTTTTCTAGGATATGCCCTGATATGAGTCAGGATAGGTTTTACTCTCTTTGGCCTGATGACCCTGACTTCTAATACTTGGGCATAGATTTGCCCCAGAATCTTGTTTTTCTACCACATATTTGAAATCCTATTATGTAAAGGCCCATTTCTGTGTCTAACCCTGAACCAGCCATGGCCAGAAAAGCTGTGACAGGATACTTTCCAGCAAGGGATTGGTATTTTTTAATCAAAGCTGCATGACTGCCGTAGGTATACCCCTTCATCAAGCCTGCAATTTCTGTTGAGAGGGGAACCTCTGCTGGCATCTTACTTCCTTTGTTTTTACCTGTCTTTCTATTCCTGCAAGAACTTCCTACCATCATAGCTCTAAGCAGGCTCTTACAGGACCAAAGTATAGGTGCTAAACACACTAACTGCATTGGACTGCCACTGTAATTTGATATGAATATGGATACCTGGCACTTCTTGCAAGGCTGGTGGAGTTTCACTCTAAGATGAGACAATTTGTAGGTAAGGTAAACCCCTGTCCTAATTAAAGGATGGAATATCCTTCAAGACTGAAAATGTTCTGGGCTTCGGCTGTTATTTTTTTAAGATACATAATTAAAATTTAAAATGTTAAACTTTTTTTTAAATTTTACATTGATTGAAGGATTTATTCAGAAATGGACTTTTCCTAATTTCTTGTAAGTAACAGTTCATTTACGTTCACTGCACAAGTTTCCATTATGGAAAGATTTTTACCTCTCTGAAGGAGTCTAGCAGCTAAGGCCTATGTATCGAGTCTTCAGAAACGGGCCTCTTTTGGCTGTTTACACAGAGGGACATTTCACAGTAAATGCAGTCAAAAAAATTAGTGTTGCTGTGTGCATTTGTGCAAAGGTAAATGCAACTCCTTCACATGAGAAGACAGCAACAAAATAAATCTGAGAATCATGAAAGCTATGAATGGAGCAGAAGCAAAGCAACTTGTAGTGGTTTTAGCGTGTTTCAATTGCAAAGACACCAGGAGTTTCTTATGCATGCACTGAAGTAAATGTTGAGAGGATCATCCTCCTCTGAAGCCATTTCATCATAACAGTTTGGATTCTTTAAACTTCTGTGCCCTACAGTGCTGTAAGATGTGGAGGAAGGAGATCTGAATCAATGTAGCCATGCTGTTTTCATGTCCCTGAGCCCTGTGGCACCCCTCCATTCAACTTTCTAAGTTTGGGACTGTGAAGGATTTCAGGAGCGTGCTTGGGTTGGAAGGGGAGGCATCAGGAAACATCACTGTCCTGAGCAGTGTCCAACCAGTGGTGTGTGTTCAAACTTTTTTTTTCCTTTCCTATTGTTTGTTTGGTTTTTTGGTTTGTTTTTATTTTGATTTTCAGCACATCTGTATCATGATAGCATCAGAAAACACACTAAAAATACTGAGGTATCCAAGCCATTGGAACAAATTATGGATATATCACTGCAGTTAACTGTAGGTGATCAGTATGTGGTCATTTACACTTGCAGACAGCAAATGGTTTGAATACCTTTGCACCTGAAGGTTTGTAAAGCCATCTGTTTTTGTAGTATTTTTACAGCAGCATGGAAAGTTGTAGCAATTTTACTCTTGCAAAACAGTTCAAAATTTTGAAGTAGGTTACTGTAGCACTTACTGTCGAGAACGTTCAGCAGTATAAATGTTGCTCATTCTTGAAAAGACGAGCCAGTTTTTTTTTTAATATTCAATTTCAAATGAGCTCTTTATAAGCAGTTGCAGAATTTTACATTTAATCTTCTGGATTAAGGCAATAAAATGGTGGTTCCTCAGAAGTTTTTGAAAGCTTGCTTCAGTTTAGCATACAACTGAAATAACTAAAGTTTAAACTTAAAGTTTCCTTAATTATATAACATGTAATGGACTTCAGAAGGATGTCTCTAAATATGCTAGATTAGTGCTAACAAAAAAATTATTGGAATTAGGCCCCCTGATATTTACTTGCAAAGCATTGTTACAGTTTGAAAACATGTTGTTTTTTCATTGTACAATTTTTTAATGAATTATTGGTTCACCATAATTTACAAAAGTAAAATATAGAGCTTTGTGTCATAATACTACCTCTTAGTGCAGTGTTGCTGAACCTCCAGCCTGCAGGCTGAATCCAGCATGCAGGTCTATATAATAGGGCCTGCAGAGCTCACCATGAGTCCAGACATTTGACAGTGGGGGAGTGGTGACAGCATTAATTGCCATGTCTTCCAGAGCCTTAGCAATTAATGCTGCTGCTCCTTGCTTCCAAAATTCTGGACCTGTGGGGAACACGGCAAGCCAGAAGGCCCTGCACACCAGATTGCATCAATACATGGGGTTGCTCTGTGGTCAGATCTGGTGTGTGGGCCAGATCCCGCAGATGGATTGATCTAGTTGAGCTGATGCACAGGATCACACCCTGACTCAACCCCACACACTAACTGCACATGGGATCTGGTTCATAGATCAGCCCTGCCCATGGGATCCAGCCTGTGGACCAGCCCTGAGTCGCTCATGCAGCCTGCAGGGCCAGAAGGTTGAGCACAGCTGTCTTAGTGTAAGTTACCATATATTTTGACTTCCATTATAGGGAAGCTTGCTCTTAGTAACACTGTCAATTAAGCACCTTATTATACCATTTCTATATTTTGGCACCTAAGTAAAGCTTTAGGTAAAAGGGACCAAATTCACACCTAGCATCAGCAGGCACAACTCCATTCATGGGGTTGTATCCATTTCTTCAAGGAGTGAATTTGTCACTGTGTACCATGTGTACTTTAATCTCTGTTTGGCAGCAGGGACACCTGCTGTCTTCAAGGCAGGTTCCTAACCATGGGTCTGCATTTACTCTTTCAAGTTGGGAAATCCCAACACTATCCCAAGATGGTTAAATAAACATTGATAAAGTTCAGCATATGATAGGCATATACTATTTGTTTCCCGTGTTATAAAACTACAAGAAATAAGAGAACACAATTGCTTCACTTTTATTTGTAAGAAAAGGTACTTGTATAATGCAAAACTTTAGAATCTACATGGTGCAACCAGTAGAATTGAAAATTAAGGTAACTTAAAACAAAACACCTTTTCTTGGTTTAAATCAAATACAACATTATTTTTTTCCATTTG